ACGGTGGCCGCATTTGAGTCCCCCATGTAGTTCCCCTCAGAGTTCTGAAAGACCTTCGATTCCCCCTCAGCACACACCATGAAGCAAGCAGCACGATGGCGCTGACGAAGGATGTCAGCATCAGCAGGATCATATATACGAGCAACAGCAGCATCCAGTGTATTGTGTTGAACAGACCCGAACGCATTTCGCATATCATGTTTGGTATCCACCGTAGACAGTCGGCCCCGTTGGGCCCTCCAGGTTAGGGCGGCAGTGGCCCTCACAGCTCCCGTACGCGATCGCCGAGGTAAATATCCGTAGTCGTGGTAGGGGATGTCCCTGGCCCGTCTGGAGGCCGTCTTCACCCACATTTTACCAAAAGAACATAACCCATGTAGAAGGCGGGTTCCCAGGGTCCGCAGTTTCCCATTGTCCTTGGGCAGTTGGTACGTGAATGACTGATTCCACTGGGCCACTAAACGGCCATGCTGTCGAACTTTAGTTAGTATGGCTGCTACCCACCGCGCAACTAGCTCACCCCGTCCTCGAGGTTGGGGGGCCCCGAGTCCAGCAACACGATCTGGCCCCTCAGGGCGCTGAGAAAGAAGTAACGACCATACCTCGTTCGGCACGCTCCACGGTACCGCGGCGCGACGACGACGAGCAGTGCGGAACCCCTTGGAAATTCTGTCCAGATCAGCCCTCCCCCACTCCACCTCCTCGGTCGTCGGAAAATCCGCCGTGTCGTATTTCGACGCAAGCTCCAAAAACTTATCCCCGTCGATCGGCTTCGCAGACATTCCCCCACTGCTCGACGGCATCGCCAAATCCTCCACCCACTCCTGCATGCTCGGGGTATAGGCAGCTATGTGTCCAAACCTACGCCGTCTCGGACCTACCCCAGCTCCAGCCATGAGTCGACAGATCCGCCACTCCTCAGACATGAGGCCCCGTGCGTGAGCATCTGCAAGTTCTTCTGCAAGCTGAGCCTCACGCTGCTGACGAAGACGCCTCCGCAGCCCACGACACAGACGGGTCAGACGCGACAGAGCTAGAACATCTTCTAAATTGTCCGTAACCGCAGCCCGAGCCTGTCCACGCAACCTAAGAAGCCGAACGCGCTCACGAGCTAGCTCCTGATAAGCAGCAGGAAGGGCCCTGGGACTTGCTTCGAACATGCTTAAACCCTGACGCTGAAGGAGGTCGACTAGTTCGTGCCAAGCAGCCTCTAGAGACTCAGCATCTTGGACAAGCTGCTCAACTGAGACACATCCCTTTGCCTCAAGAACCTCGCCGATCGCGCGTTCCACTGACTGGCGAAAGGCATCAGCATGGAACTCACTACGAAGTGCCTGTCCGAGCCCCACGAAGTCCCACCTTTTCCGCTCCTCACGATCGACATGACACGGACGTAAATCAATCTCAAGAATGAATGGTACATGATCTCGAGGCCGGCTGTCAGGAATGGCCTGAAGTCGGCGTGCCGTCCGAAAAGGTTGGGTGAATCGTCGTACACTCGGCACGTGTGACGACGGTATCAGAACATGATCGATCCATGAACAACTCTGCTGCTTAGCTTTCCCTGACGCTGCAAACAGACGAGCCGCCGTCGCCGAAGGTGGGGAAGTCGAGGGAGTCCGATCCGTCGTCGTCGACTTCGTAGGTACCCCATAATAACTAGGCCCTCCACTGAAAACAGTATCTAAAACCGACAGCTCGTACGTCTCAGCCAGTTCTCTCATGAGTCCCCCAGCCTGGTGTTCGACTCCCCTTCCGTAAGGCCCCAGGGCCTTGCTCTCGACCATCACGTGACCGTGCTTACCACCCACGAGCCCGATACCGTCATTAAGATCAGTAGCCACAACAGGAAACGTACGACACGGAAGAGATGACAGCACATGATGCCCAAAGTCCGTCACACGTGAAATCGTCGTCGATAACTGCTGCTGCTCGCGTGGATCTCGAGACCGAGGAGGGTAGTACAACGCCACCACCGAAAGATCACCATATAACGATTTTACTCGTATTGCTGCTGCGCGTCCACGAATGTCAGGCGGTGCAGTCCAGATGCGAACTACATCACGTGCACGTACAGTGTTTTTGTTCAAGTAAAAAGCAATGCCACAAGAACAGTTAGTCAGCGCTCCTTTAGCAGACCACCCACAATGGACCACTTTGAACCCAGGGAGATCTTCCACATGATACGGAGCGCTCGGGGAACACTTGCGTTGAGTCCCGATGAGCACAAGTACGTCAAAAGATTTGAAGGCATACAGAATCTCTAACTCACGATCTCGATCAGAAACGGAAAGTGGATTCCACACCAAGATTCGCATCACGTCTGCTGATGTAATCGCTCCGCTGACAGCCTGACACGCCGTCTGCTGATGTAATCTCGCTCCGCTGACAGCCGACGCTCTCTCTGTAATGCTGACGAGCAGACCAGAGTTGCCGAGCGCCGCCTCTGTGCAGCAGACGATCCAGTCTGGCTCGCTGAGGTCCTGGCCCACGAAGCAGGCCGACGTGAGGGCCCAGACGAGCAGCGCGAGAAGAAACAAGAATGATGTGAAGCAGAAATGTGGAGTGAAGGGTGAGTGCGATATCGGGGCGGGTGGGGGCCAGCCTCGAAGTCGGGGTTCCCGAGGCCTCCCCCGCCTGCCGAGCGGCCGCTGGTGCATGTCCACCTGGGCCGCGCGGCTATGAGGAGGAGGAGGAGGAGGAGGATGAGGATGAGGGTGAGGATGAGGATGAGGAGGAGGAGGAGGAGGAAGAGGAGGAGGAGGAGGAGACCCCCTCGTAGCCTCCAGGGCACCCCTCGCGAGGCAAGGAGGGCCCTGGGGGGCTTAAAAAAATTGAGCGGCAGGCTTAGGATATCCTAGGCTTAAGTCGGGCCTCTCCCTCAACAGGAGGAATACGGTCGCGGCATTGGATAAGGAATGTCTTCCTGGGGCCCAGACCCTGTTGCATTCTTTATTGTTCCAAGGCGAGGTGGGTGGCCCACGTTCGGCCGCCCATCGGTCGCGAGACTTTGGGTTCCTTATCGAAGGCATCCTTATCTTAAAGTCTCCACCTTATTCAAAAATAGTACAAACATAGTCTGGGGACGATTTATCGACTATGTTTGGCCACTTTCGCGAATATTTTTAGGGCATTTTTGAATTATCGTCCAAAACCCGCCTGAAGGGGGACATGCCCCACCTCATCCTAGGCCAGGGGCACCTCTACTAACTAGCACCCCCCCGTCCTCGTCTCGAGGAGCGCCGGCTACACTGGCGTCAACGTTCGGAGGTCCGCGCGGATCTCGTGGGCCCAGCGCCGACCCAAGAACTCCGCGCGGACCCCCGACAGTTTACCCGCCGGTCGGTGATTTTAGTTTCTTTTGGATTTTCGGATCCCAATCTACGTTGGCCGCCGTCCTACTTCAAGAGTCGATCGGTTTTACCTCTTGCCTCCTCTTCAGGGGGGCGGGCGGACGCCCAATCTCCTTCAACGCCTTCCTACTTTATGTTTCTGCCTACTTCTTCCGACCGACGGATGAGAAATTCTTTACGCTTCGCGTATCCCCACCAGCCCATCTCACAGCAGCAACTCTCGCGAAGCATGCCGACAGTCGTGTTTTTCAGGCGTGTGTCCGCTTGGCCCCGCATATCTCCCCTGTTCCTCCTTCCTCCCGCCTCCTTGTACATCCTCCTTGTGGTGGGAGCGGGAGAAGGACGAGGCGGAGGAGGAGGAGAGAAAGCGCTCCTCGTGGTTTGAGTCGTTTGGGGTTTCTCGTCCTGGTGTGAGTCGTTCGGGCCCATCTTCTGGTGTGAGTCGTTCGGCTCTCGTGGTGTGTGTCTTCGGCTCTTCGACCCTGGAGTGAGCGTTCGGGGCTTCTCAGTGGTTGGAGTTGTCTTCGGACAAGGCCCTTCGTCCTGGTGTGAGTCGTTCGGGCTCCTCCTCCTGGTGTGAGTCGTTCGGGCTCCTCGTGGTGTGAGTCGTTCGGGGCCCTCGTCCTGGTGTGAGACGTTCGGGCTCCTCGTGGTGTGAGTCGTTCGGGCGCCTCGTCCTGGTGTGAGTCGTTCGGGCCCCTCCTTCTGGTGTGAGTCGTTCGGGCTCTTCGTGGTGCGAGTCGTTCGGCCCCCTCGTCCTGGTGTGAGTCGTTCGGGCTCCTCATGGGGCCTCTTGGGGGCCTCTTGGATGCTCTTGGGGCCTCTTGGGGGCCTCTTGGGGGCCTCTTGGGGGCCTCTTGGGGGCCTCTTGGCGCCTCTTGGGGCCTCTTGGGGCCTCTTGGGGGCCTCTTGGGGGCCTCTTGGGGCCTCTTGGGGGACTCTTGGGGGCCTCTTGGAGGCCTCTTGGGAGCCTCCTGGGGGCCTCTTGGGGCCATATTGGGGCCTCTTGCGACCTCCCCAGAAGCGCAAATGAGCGCTGCCCCCTGAGAAGGAGAAAATGAGCCCAAAACCTTCGTAAAATCAATGATTTTGCTATGAAGGAAGAGGAGCGCTGCCCCCTCAGAAGGCCAAAATGGGGCCGAAACCGTAGTAAAATCAATGATTTTGGTTTCAAAGAAGAGGAGATCATTTTTTCTGCCCGCCCCCGTCGGGGCCAGAATCCTCGTGAGAGGTGTCGTTTTTTAGCCCTCCCAGGAGTCGAAATTGACCCCCTGACGACCCGCGGCCCCCCCTCTCCAGGCCCAGGGGGAGGGGGTAGGGGGAGGGGTAAACCCCTCCCCGAAGGGGAAGAAGGGGTTTTGAGGACAGAGAGCTCGCTAAACCACTCACGCCCAAAGGGCTGGTGGGATTCTATCGTCATCCATGTCCTCGTCGGCGTCGTGCCTTCCCTAGCCATGTGAAGAACGTGGGCCCTGCAGGAATGGAGTCATGCCGTTCTTTCGCTGCCCGGACATGGCCCGGGGAAGGCCAAAAGGCGATTCGGCATTGGTGGGTCGTGCGATTGAAAGCCCGTTCCTCAGGACCTGGCTTCCACCAGGACCCCGGTTTC